ATTCATACCTTCGGTGTATAGGATGCAAGCAGATTTTGACATCAAATTTTGGGGTAAAAAAAGTGTGTCTTATACACCAAAAAATACGGTACTTTCCTTTGATTTTGTCCTTTATACCCACTGGGAACCACCTGTTTTTATACTTGCAAGAAACCCTTTCTGCATATAAGGAACATGTCTATCTTGAATATTTAACAATTTATTTTTGAAATTTTTCCACACTTGATCAGTATTAATTCAGCTAACCAATTTGTTGCTGACATAATTCTCATCCCTTCTAAATTTGCTTTTTTGAAATTTAGAACCAACATATTAACTCTTTTCTACACATGCAGCAAAACGTGAAATCTAATCGAGCAGTGACTACTTGCACCCAGATGTTCCCCAACCTCTACCCTATCAACCATTTCTTTATTATAAGTTAACAATAAATCTAAAATAGCATTGTTCCTAGTAGTTCTCTAACCAATCGTTGAAGAAAATTATCCTAAACAGTATCAAAACACATTTCTATCATGATTTGCTCTAATATTTCTCAATCTATATGACTGAAATTAAAAGCTCCCATAATTATACCTTCATTGCGGCTGAATTCTTTATTATCTCTCTGTAGAATTTCTCAATACTTTTGTCAGTTTCATTTGGTGATTTGTAATAAATTCTAACTAAAAGTTTTCTCCCCTTATAACACTCACAGAAACCTAAATATAATCAACCGCATTGTTCCTAGCTTTGGTATCCTCAACTTTAACAGGCGCTAACACACATTTTACATATAAAGTCACATCTTCTCCTCTTATAACACTAACAGAAACCTAAATATAATCAACCGCATTGTTCCTAGCTTTGGTATCCTCAACTTTAACAGGCGCTAACTCACATTTTACATATAAAGTCACATCTTCTCCTCTTTATAATACTCTATCCTATTGAACAACCTATAACCCTGTATTTGAAAGAGATTCCTTTCATCATAAATGTCTATATGTAGCCATATTTCAGTTATTCCTGTTATATCAAAATCCCCTATTCTGATCAATGCTCTAAAGTTATCCATTTTATTTCTTACACTTGTAGCATTACAATAATAAGAGTTTAGCCTACTTGTGCTAACAACTTACCCCTCTATCTTATTTTTTTATTCATTATTCTGGCTCTCTTCACTGTCTAATCCTAGATTAAAGTTTCCCTTTACAGTTGAGTTAATAGCCCCTGCAAACAAGCTAGCCCCTATCCTATTTAAATGTAAACTATCAATTTCGAAAAAATCCCTTTTCCTGTTATATTAATCCTATAAATCCAACCAATCAACCTGCTCTTCCTTACATATTAACCTAAGCCTAGTATTGAGCACTAATGACCTACTAATGATTTCACTCTACAGTTAAGTCTTGACTGTATCCCTGACGGAATTAAGTTATTATGGCCATTTTCTTTGAATGTGTTAGGTTTTAAGTAGTTGTCTGTGACTTGGTCATAAATTTCAACAATAAACAAACACCATACAACCCACTTGTTTTAAAATAATATATTAAAACAAGTAAAATGTATATACAAATGATGTTACACTGCTGGTTATCACAGTTGTATCCAGAGCTGTAAATAATTATCTTTTTTCATCAAAGTTCACACAGGCTGGTACAATTACTTTAGAACACAATTGACAAGACAAATTATTTCTTCTCTACTCTGTTATTACAATAGAATCTGTAATAAATTCTCTTTCAAAGTCTCCACTATACTCTCTTTATGGCTAAACTCACAATTACGCAGTCTAGATCTATCAAACTATCTCAAAACTACATTTTGGACGTGTATTTGTACTCCAACATAGGCCTAGAACGTTCCACCACTACGAGATATTATAATGCAATAATACTCAACTAAAACAATTAGAAAAAGCAATAGTTTTGACAAGTTTCATAAAGCAACTGTACAAGTCATACATTGTGTGTCTAGTTTAATTGTTGTACTAGGATTTTTATTCTGATTAAGATGATAGAATGTTAAGATTGAAACAAAAGAAGTAGCTAAAAATGTTAAATTATACCAGATTGGCCACTTTCTGTAAAAACCTCGTATACACACATTTGTAGAACTACTTTACTTTGCATATTCAAAATAGTCTGAAATGCACATATGTAGCCATATTTAGTTTTAATGACATTAAGAGTAAGTATCCCTTTGACCATCAAAGGGGTATGATAGTAACTTCTTTTTGTCCTGTCTAGCACAAGAAATGTTACCAAACATCAGTTTTTGACTGGCTTTTCAAAAATATCTGTTGTAAAAGATTGTCACTTGTATTACTCAAAAAGAAACATGTTTGCCATGAGGGAAAAACTGATGACTGACCAAAGGAAATAATTATTGGACAGGTTTCTAAAGCATAAAACATGTCAGATTGATCTAGTCCCATTTGATTAAATCTATCAACAGTGGTAATTTGCTCTCCTATCACAACAAGCAAAGAACAATAAAAAAAAAAAACTATCCTATGGCAGCTGACAATTAGTCTGAAAGTCTTATCTCATATGCAAATAGGAAAACACAGTATTTGCATTGTTTATAGTGCAGACTGTGGATAATGAAACTTGAGGGCAAGCAACATTGTCTGATCAATAATGTTTCAGTCTTTTCTGTGTTAATGATAGGTCTAACATTATGGAGAATAGCAGTCATGTCTGAAGGTGGTGTAATAGTATGGGGAATATTCTCATGGTAAGGTTTTGGTGATTTGGTTCTTTTAGAGTTTATTTTCATCCGATAGTATGTTGAAATTCCACCCTGATGGACAACAGATCTTAAAAATGATAATCCAATAAATCACTGTGCTTTTATTATTTGAATTTTGACCAAAGAGAACAACAGTTACTTCATTAGTTTTCATAGTGAACAAATTTCTCAATCTTATTGAACATTTTGGGCTTCACTTGAACATCACATTTCCCAGCGCAATAAATTAAATAAAATAATAGAACCAATTGCAGACCTTGGTGAATGAGCTACAAAGAAAAAGACACTTCTGGGTATTTTGTAACGTCTGTGACACCCTGAGTCCATGCAAGCTGTTGTAACTGTGAATGGGAAGAGCCCTAGTAAAGTTGTCAGTCAGTGTATGTGTAAATATTGAGGTGTGTTTTTATTATTACCAGGAATTACCTAATGTGTTAGGTTTTATTTAATCCTTTTTGGACCAGAGGGGTGTCAGGAATAACCTGATTTTTTTTCATCTCATAGTGGAAATATTTAACCAAATTGCATGAAACTTAGTACAAATTTACTAAATAATACCTAGTTTCTGCTTAAAAATTAGCTCATGATTTGATTTAGTATTTCTATTATTTCTTAACATGCCAAACTGAAAAAATATTTTTTCTGAGACTGTTTTGAAAAGATTAAAAATGCTTTCTTTCATTTTTGAATTTGAGTTTTTTTATTGTTAATCAGAAAGTTCCTTTTTGATATATTTGTTTTGATACTTTATTTCAGTGATTGAAATACTCAAAACTTCTGGCTATAAATCATAAAAACTGAAATATTTATTGGTGACCAAGGATTTGACCTTTCAAAATGGTGTCACCATTACATTTTTTGGAGGTTTTTGTTAATAGCTCTTGGTTGAGATCAGATTATATCTAACATACATTGTGTGTTTTCAATACATAAAATGTTAGTTTATCAGTATGTCAAATTCGATGACGAGGAACCCACTTTGAGACTAATAATGGCTGGAGACGGCTTAAATGGGTAATGAAGCAAACTTTAATATAAGTTTAACATAACAGCAAGTGTACAACGTTTCGACATAATGATGACAAAACCTTGTCGAAAAG